TCGTTCTCGCAGCCAAACTCTGTATAAACACAAACACAGCTAAAACAACACATTTAGTTAATGCTGCCAGTTTTTCCTCCTTTATAATCCATAGAAACAGTAAGAAATATGAGCAATAAAAATTGCAATACCTTTCCAGCTACTCCTTATTTTCCTCCTCCTCATTCCTCTGTCCAGTTAGAAGTGTGGCATATTGAGCAATAATTGTGTTTAATACCTCTTCCAGCAAGGTCAGACTGCCTGAAGGAATAACAGAGATTTAGTCTGTTGCTCAAGGACTCTTAAAATGCAGACTTGCTGAAATCTGGCTCTAACTGAGCGTGTTTGCGTTCCTTCAAATCTGGATCCCCGTTGAGTAATAATTGTTTTCGATGTCATGTTTTCCAGGAAACATGGAATAAACAAAAACTTAATCTATTTGTGGCCATCCTGATTCAGCTCCAGATGTTTGGAGAGGCAAAATCTTTCCACGGTCATCTAACATTCAGAGAGGATGTTGCATGTCCAAAAGGTTGTGACTCTTAACCCTTTGTCCTTGGAGCTTTAGTTAGTGTTAGCAGCATGCTCTGACGCTCAAACTCGTCTCTGTAGATTTAATTTACTAGCATCGACTCTTATGATTCACACTCCAGTCAACGTGCAGCGACAGAACTGGAGAGGTTTCATAGAAAACCCTGAGCTGTGCACGCTTAACCAAAAGCATACCACCATGAATCAGGACCCATGATCAGCTGCATTTAATGTCTCTCTGCTTTAAACTGTAAAATCATTCTTAGCATATCGAAGACTGTCCTGCGGTTTCCTTCTTCCATTCCAACCACAGTGTGAATGCTAATAAGAGGAAGAGTTAGGTATCAACTGTTATATCTCTGAATCAAAGAACCTCTACAGGACTAGTAATTATGTAAAAAAAGGTTTGTACGCCACTTCATTAGTTACACCTTGTTAATTCTGGGTTGCACTTCAGAATGCCTTTTACAGCTATTTTTAATGGCATAGATTCACTTTGGGGTCTTAATGATTTTGTAAAAACAGCTATTTAGAGATAATATAGTCATTTTGGTGTCAAATTCCACTCTTTAGGATTTGTTTTAAAAAAAAGAGCCATAACTATGCTTACTGTATATCTTGTAATACCTAAACTTCTGGAACACTAAACCAGCAAACTATTATAACATCCGCAAAGTTTAAAGTTCAACCGAAAATGAACCAATTCAAATAAACAGATGTAGTCATAATGGAAGCATACTGCAGAATATTAATAAAGGGAAAACGGAGGCTAAAATACAACCAGCTTCGCTGTTTCAAACAGACGGCTCTCCTCTGTGGTTTAGATCACAAGGCATTTGGCTGGATGACAGCCCAGCAGCCGAGCTGAAAGGAAGCATGATGCCGGAGTTCCTCCATCCATCAGCCCGGCTGAGAGCATGCCCAGCTGTGACTGCAGACAGGAAGGCAATCTGTGGAGCCTCGCTGAAGTTTAGATCTGCAGCAAAGGCTGGCTGCCACATTCATTTTAATACCATGTATAAATAAACCACTAAATGGTTTATTTTGAAATTTATCCTGATTAGAGAGTTCTGGATTAAGATTACCGTGGTGTGCCTATCAGATTAGGGCAGATTTAGGAAATATAAACTACCAATCCTTCTACTTGTATACTTGCATTTTTAAAAGTTCCACAGACAGCATGACTTGTATAAAAAAAAAAAAAAAACACAATGAAAATCTTGATGTCAATCTAACTTTAGCTGCTAGGCTGCCAAGAATAGAGACATGGGAATACTAAAATATATAAATAGGGTATTTTTGAAATCTCCAATCATCTGATAAAAGGACAACATGAATGGAATAATACACTCTTTGTTGGCAACACATATTAAAGAATACAGTCGGGTTATAAAAGCTAGATATTTTTGGGGAAAAAGGAATTCAGCTACATCAGCTGAGGTCAAACCAGAGGGCTTAACCCAAAGGGCCTCAACTGTGCTCGGTTGCTTATAAAACGGCATGCTCAAAGTCAGATCTTAACCATATTTATTAATATATTTGTGTATTTTAAACTAAAAAACATATCATAATGTACCTTATTGTATTTAAAATGATTTACGCTGTAATAAAATGTAGACATTTCCCTATACAAGAGTGTAATTAAGAGCATATGGTAGAAGTAGACACCTGAAAAAGCTAATTATAAAACAGAAGTTTAGCCATTGTGTCATGTAACAACACAAAGTAGTGCTTTGTTATAACATGAATAAAATGCAGTGGAACAAATTTACTTAAAATGTCACTTAATTACACGTTTTCCTTATGAAAAAGCTGTCACAGATACAATTCAAATGTGGTGTCGGTGGTGGATTCTTTGTTACGTTTGTAACTGATTGCAGTCCCACAACTTGACAAGAAGTCTGCTACGTCAAAACAAAACAACAAAACACCCTTAAGTCTAACTTGGACATAAAATAGGGCATTGTAAAATCGTAAAATAAGCCAAAGGTTCCTTAAAGAAGCCTTTTAACTAAATTAAACCAAGTGAAACAAATATTTTTCCACTTGAGGAAAGACTTACCTGTAAAATGTTTATATATTTTTTACATTTTTTTATATAAATACTGCTCTAAGTGGGTCGCTCTGTCAGCTAAAGGCATGTTTTACAGTCTCTATACTCCAGTTAACGATTACTAAATTAGTTGACAAATATTTCAATAATTGATTAATCACAATTAATCTGATTGTTTCAGCCCTAATTTAAACCATTCATCCATCCATTTTCCGTCACACTTATCCCTGGTGGGGTTGCGAGGAGTGCTGGTGCCTATCTCCAGCTGTCTACGTGCAAGAGGCGGGGTACACCGTGGACAGGACGCCAGTCTATCGCAGGACAACACAGAGACAAACAGGACAAACAACCACTCATGCACACTCACACCTTTGTGGACTGTGGGAAGAAGCCGGAGTACCCGGAGAGAACCCACGCATGCTCAGGGATGTAAATGCCATGCAGAAAGACCCCGGGCCGGGAATATAACCTGGAACCTTCTTGCTGCGAGGCAGCAGTGCTACCCACTGCCTCCACTGTGCAGTCCCAATTCAAACAAATATTCAGCAATAATTTTAAATGGCTATTAAGTCACCAAAATTTAAAGCTGGGCCAGTATTAATATTACTATTTTGGCTGAAAAACAAAGACAACAATGGCATTGCTTCTCTACTTGAATTATGAACCCAACAACCCTTTGCTGTGTCACTATACAGTGTCACACGCCCTCACAAATACCACATGGCAAACCCCCTTCACCTTCCCCTTCATTTAGACAAAAATACATACAGTACACAAAATAGACAAACATTGCTAAATATAATCAGCCAAGTTGGTTACAGGAACAAGTACAATATGTTGAAATGACCAATTTAAGCCAATGCCAGTGTAAGTCATAATGTACTGTGCATCCCTATTTATCAGCAATATTTTCTTACTTACTAAACTATGCAGATGCTCTGATGAAGTTCCACTGACCACTGCAAGCCAACTATTTGACAGACAGGTCAAAGCTGGTTCTATGAGGGACATTTAAAATATTTACTCAACTTGAGCGACACATATGAGCAACCTGTGGACAAACGGTTATAGAGACAATTTCGGGGTGAACTTGTGCTTCATTTGATCATTATGTAATTATGTAAAGCTTAATCGTGACTACCAAACATTACATGGGACTTTGTCCTCTTCTGATTATTTCAGCTATAGACTGGTTTAAAAACTGTGAAACCCTCATAGACTGATCGTTAACCTTTCTTTTACAGATGACCAGCCCTTTGTAAAAGAAAAAAGAAAACTAAATAGGTTAAAAGTAGTGTTGCTCCGATACCGATACCAGTATCAGACGGGGCCCCGATCCAGCACTAAAATGGTGGTATCGGTATCGGCGAGTACCAACAAATAGGGCACCGATACCATTTAGAGAGTCAAAAGTTTATTCAACTATTGTCACTCATTCCAGGTCGGCAATAAAAAGTCCTACTGGATTCACTTTGTATTAGTCTTTTTCCTGCTTTACAAAGGTAGGCAGTAGCTTGACAAAGCCATGATGGCAATTATTTTACATCCAAATAGTATGCAGTTCTTCATATATACACAAATAGACATCAATTTCAAACAGATGGTATCGGTATGGTATCGGCCGATACTGCACCGCCAGGTATTGGGTATCGGGGCCAAAAAAGAGTCTATCTTCTATTGATGATGTCCTAGTTAAACTGACCTAACACCAAGGTAAGACACACTATAAAAGGGATAGAAAACGTAGTGGGTTGAAAGTCTACAGGTTTGGACCTATTTAAGACAGGCCAGGATGTGGCAAGAGATGAAACATGGAAGATTTAGAAATAGTGGAACTCCCTACTCTACCTTATATGGGTTGAAACTACTGACTCACTCAGGCAGAGTTTTGAAAAAAGCTGTTCATGAAGTGACTTGAAACTGAGGTCTACCCACAAAAAAACCCCTCTGTGGACAGTGATGCAACAAAACTAAAGCTGTTTAAAGAAAATAATCTTGATGCTTTATATGTCTAAATCAGCATGATTGTGTATTAGTAAGTGTAACAAAATGTAATAAGGCAAGATTAAAAAATATGTCTTTCTACTCCAAAGATATGGGTCAAAAACATTGTTGTAAAGGATTAAAAATGGGTTTTAAGTTTTTTTTTGTTTTTTTGTTTTTTAAATATCTATATTCCCTGATCAGAGGTCAAGGTTTGTGATATTTTATTTTTTTACTAAAGGAAAAAAAAAATGCAATTTTCCAGATTAAATGGCTGTATTTTCCAGCTCACAGATGCAGGCGTTGTCTTTTCCTATAGATGATGAACGTCTTTATAAAATCAAAGCTGGAAAGCTGGCAGTCCTTTGTTGGTGACAGGTCAGAGCAGCTGGTCCATCTTGCTTTAATCATCCTCCTCTGACAAAGAAACAAATCAACATCTTTTTGCATTTACCTTTAAAGATCTGTCTCCTCGCAGTGTGGTCTTCCACTCTGATTCCCCACTTCCCCCTTTTTGATTCGGGTCCAGGACAAAGTAAATCCGAGTTATTCCAGTCGGGACCGAACTACCTTCATCCTCCCCTCATCCATCCAGTTTGGTTTTAACTTAAATCAAGTGTTGTAGTCCTGAAGGCTGATTAAATCACTGCACGGGGCTGTCATTTTCCTTCCACTGACTGAGGGGAAAATCCTACAGATGCATGCCAGCTGATGGAAAACAAAGAGGAAGCAGGAAAAGTGGGATCCTGGAGTATCCCGGGGAGATGGAGCCTCCTCTCCACCCCTACTACCAAACTTCCATCAACCCCCACACTACAACATGGCCGACCCAGCCTGCGGGACTGGAGCCAAGCAGCTGGAGACGCAGACACAGAGCCGTCTGGTGCAGCTGGTCTGAGAGCAGCCGGGGCGTGAAAATAAAGCACGCGGAGGGGGAAATGTTGAAAAAGGCTACGATAGAAAAACCGAACGGATAAGACGAGAGATAAGAAAATAAGTAAGCAGGCACGTGAAGAAAAATTTAAACGTAACAAAAAATGAGGTACATTCACATTTCTCATGCACAAATCTAAGTCTATGGCGCCATCTGATGGTTTGTTGCGTCCACTGCAGGTCAAGCGGTGGAATTGACTGAAGGAATGGTCGGAGAAAGGACAGTCCCAGTTTAGCAGAGGCGTGGCCAGAATATTTTTATAAGGGTGGCCCAGGGGAGAATCTAGGATTCTATGAGATCTGAGGGTGAAGATGAGAGTGTAGACTTTCTGGTAAATCCCGTTCTAATGTAAAATATAACAGATTACTGGATTAAAGAAAGTTCTTGTATAGGCCTACTACATGCTATCACACATAATCCCCCCTCCATAACATGGGAAGAAATTAATTTACCTGCAAGTCTTTAACTATGTTTATTGCTCTCTTCATCAACAACAAACTATTTGGATTTTGGGACGTTTGATAATTTTTGCAAATGTTATGAGGGGGGAACCATATATTTTAGCCACCTGATATAATCCGTTCCCCTCATTACATGGGAAAAAATAAACAAATCCTGTGAATTTTGAAACTGTTTTTTTTTTTCTATATTATGTTTAAAACATTTATTATTTTATATTTTGAAATCCAAAATAGCTAAAATAAATATGACTGTCGGTTTGATGATCTTTATGAAATGTATTTTCAATTCTCAATTCAAAATGTCTGGAGTAACTTTGCTCCAGACATTTGGTTTGAACTTTTTTTGGAATATTTGTAAATTGTTAGATAAACATTTAAATAGAAAGTACATTTCATAAAGATCATCAAAGGGGGAACGGATTATATCAGGTGGCTAAAATATATGATTCCCCTCTCCTTACTCTGGCAAATAATAATGATCAAATGTTACCATATTCACACGGTTTGTTGAGGTGAATTAATTTCTTCCCATGTTATGGAGGGGAAACAGATTATTTCAGGCAGTTGAAATATCCATTTTCTCCTCTCCTCCTCCCATATCATTGGGAAACACAGAGCAACTGTTTCCGGATTTTAAAAAAAATTGTTATGTGCGATAGCATGTCGTATACTAGAAATGTCCTTAATCCATTAATCTGTCATATTTTACATTAGAACGGGATTTACCAGAAAGTCTACACTCTCATCTTTTTAGGAACTCTTAATTTTTGTGTCCTGCTATCAGCCAGTTTCGACCCTCTCATATTAGTAATGCAAAATTATATTACTCACTATGTGTTGGAAAACTGTGTTTGGTGACTGACTTTGATTTCTGTCCGGCTGAAGGGACAAAAGTTGGAAAAAGACAGATTCTCTTGGAGTTTAAAATAACAACGCAAAACAGCTTAAGAAGGTCCTCATTTATTTATTTATTTTTCAACTTTGTAAACAACATCTGCTGATTAAACTGGATGTTACAACAGTGACATGATTATAGGAGTTGTTTTTAGTGAGAAATCCATCAGCATCGCAGTGAAAATGGTCCCATCCGCCATGACCGCCTCTCTGGCTTCAATGCGCGCTCCCAACACAAGGGGAACCGAATTTCATACAACACCGGGACAAAGAACGTCTGGAAGTCAGACAGAGCTTCACATCCCAGGGACATCAGTCTGTTTAGCTACCTGGACGAAAGCTTCCGCCAACTCCTAGACAGTCTGTGGTGCAACGTGACGTTGGTGGACACGATTGAGACACGATTTTCCAGATGTGTTAAACCGGATTCAGGTCTGGGGAGCGTTCAGGCCAGTGAATAGAAGGACAGTCCATAGCTATGCCTCCATCTTGCAGAAACTGCTGACACACTCCAGCCTTGAGGTCTAGCATTGTCCTTGTTACGGCCCCTGGCCTTTTAAGACTGTGCTGGCTTGTTTTCTCATGCAGGTTCAGCTCTAACAGAAATCTTCCTTGTTGGCTACCTGAAGGCTGCAGAGGAGAAGTGACATGATTGGACCAGCAGAATATTGTCAAGCCAATCAGGATGTGGATGAGGACCACCTGCACCATATAAAAGCTCCTGGAAAGCTATCAGTTTGGAGGACAGCTAGTAGGAAGAAGGTTTTTGTTAAGCTGTTGCCTCACCTTTGGTTTCAAACTGTTTTGGGCAGTTAGAACACTTTGACCTAGCTTGTATAATTTTCTGAATCGGCTTTAGGTGGACTTGTTCAAGCTAGAAGCTTGTGTTCGGGAGGTTTGGTGCTTCCTTTGTCTTTTCTTTTGGGTTCTTTTGAGTTAAATTTAGACTGACTAGTTTGGACAGTTTGTAATTTAATTTGCACTTCACCATTCTTGAATTTGTTTGCCCTTTGTTTTGTTTGTTGTATTGTGTTTGGGTCTGTTAAACCATCTTTTGTAATAAATCCTTTTACATTCCAATTATTTGCTCTGGACACATTTTTATGTTACCTCCACAGAACCCCTAGACCTTGGGGACGTAACAGTCCTGCATTTGGAGGAACCCAGGGCCAACTGCATCAGCATAGGGTCTCCCAAGGGGTCTGAGGATCTCATCTTGGTACCTAGTGGCAGTCATGCTACCTCTGATGAGCACATTGAGGGCTGTGCGGCCCTCCAAAGAAATGTTCTCTGGGAAATGCCACGCATGCTGCAGGGCATTGGGTTGACAGCAAAAACCCAATCTGTGGATGTTGGGCCATCATACAATCTTCATGGAGTTGGTTTCTAAGCATTTGTGCAGAGAAATGCAAATTTGAAGGCCTTCTGGAGATCATTTTGCTGGGCTCTGGCACTGCTAATCCTGTTCCTACTTGCAGAAAGGCAGAGATAGTGGTCTGCAAGGTTGTTGTCTTCCTACAGCCTCTTCCACGTCTCCTGGTGAACTGGCCTGTCTCTTGGTAGTGCATCCAGTCTCTGGACAATACACTGACAGACACAGCAAACCTTCTTGCTACAGCTCGCATTGATGTGCCATCCTGGAATGAGCTGCACTACTGAAACCACTTGTTTGATTTGCGAGTGTCAAAGTAACACCATTATTCAAACATCAGCCAGAAAGCATAGGCACTATGAAGTGGTCCGGGGTCCCTACCTACAGAACCACTCCTTCATTGAATGCGTCTTGCTAATTGCCAATAATTCACACCTGTTGTCTTTTACATTTGCACAACAGCATGGAAAATGTATTGTCAATCAGTGCTGTTTCCTAAGTGGATCATTTGATTTCAGAGAAGTTTGATTTAATTGAAGTTTTATGTGTCCATTACAAGAGCATTTACATTTTGGCCCAAAATGCCCTTTGAAGTCTAAAGTCGTGAATTTTTCCCTCTACTTTCATCCTTAGTGCAGTGCAGCACTGATTGATGAGCGCAGCACTAATGATTTATTCCACAAACACCTGCTGAGTGGCCGTCACAGACTACTGGTACTTGAGAACCGACTTCCAAATCATCCTTTTTAGCTACAGAAACCAATGAGGCCCGGAACTATAAGGGGTGAAGCTAGAAGCTTCACTCATAGAGCATATTGCTAGTGGGTTAATGCAGAGCAGAAGGGAGTCTATATGTAGCCATCCAGACCACAAACAAAGCATCTGCTCACACAGTATGAGAATGCCTTCAGCATGTAAATATTCACTTTGGGGCTCCCTGCACAAGCAATTAACAGAGGAGAAAAGATCTCTGATCAGGTCAGTCCCAAAGATCGCTGCTGTGAATGATAAAGACAAAGGTTACAAACTGTAACAGTAAGAAGACCACAGGAACAGATACAAACTGATACAACTAAAAGTAGCTGGATCATGCGTAATAATGCAGAATAACAAACCCTGCGTGCGCAAAGTGTCGCTGCAGATGGAACTTGAGGTTCGATGAAACTCAGGTCCAGCTAGAAGCTGCACTGTGGTGTTTGAGGATCCAACTTATCTTAGTCGATTGGTCCTAGTATTTTTGTTATGTCATTTTACTGCTGTTCATTCCAAAGGAGAAGGTTCTTTCTCTTTCCTTTTCTCCTGTCTGCATCTTCACCATAGAGTTATCATATCTGCCACACTGTTACACACTGCAGTGGCCTTTGGGATACAAATAATACTACTGCTTAATTGAACCACTCTGCACTGATCACATATCTGCATCCTTTCCTCCTTCAAGTGGAGTTTGAGCTGAAATTTTAAGTGTTCGAAACAAACACCAATTGGAAATCAGCAGGTGCTATTTTACAGCACAGCTCTGCACAATCGGGACGTCTGTTCATCATTCACACCTGGTTGTCAATATTCTGACTCACTAATGAGAAATCTGTATCTCTTTATAGTTTATCCTATGTCTAAAATATAACTCAATCAGACAATCGTGTCTACCATATTGGTTTGTTCCTCTTAATGTTACTGAAGGTGCACTGGAGGAGGATTATGTTTCAGTATTTTGTGCACATCATATATTGTGGCCACAAATAATTACACGATGAGAACAAGTTTGCACACAAATTAGTTTTTCGAGGGAACAGATTAATATGACATGGGCCTAAATTGGTATTTCCTAGGTACGAATAGGTATTTCGCGCATACGGTATATATGTATAAATTTATATATCATATTTATATTGTATTTAGCTTTTTATTTTCCACCCGTGTCAGTTACTGTGCTCCGTAACTTATTGCTTATTTTTTGCAGTCACAGTTAAATAGAATCTGTCAACTAGGGTGAAGTTGGCTAGAACATCTCAAAAGCAACACAGTGTGACCTGCTCCTGTTTTAGCACAAAATGCCCTGTTGTTTATTGGGTTAATCAGGTTTTTTCTACCATTATCTTAACAGTTGTGAGAAGTTTATTGAGAAATCAAGACACTTATCATCCCACAATAAAGTCTTCTAAAATCTTCTCTTTAAAATATGAACTAATTATATGTTAAATCTACAACAATATACTTAAAGGGAAAAGTAAAGTGAAGTCAGCTACCAATAGTGAAACTTAAACTGAGAAAATAATAAAAAAAATAAGATGACAAAGCATAAAAATTCAGGTAGAAATGTTGATACCTGTATAGTTAAGAGTTCTAAAATAATAAT